AACACATCTTTTTTGAGATAAAGATGACATGATCACACTTGAGGAGGTCTTGGCAATAGTACTTAGTACATAGCAGTAATGCATATGCACAATAACCAATACCTTAATCAGCAGCCAAGGGCCTATGATAAAGGAAGAAGGTGCTTCAGGAGGAGTTGGGAGATTTGGGGGCATCATGAGTAAGAAGAAAAAAGTAGACTATTGTTAGGAAGGTTAAGAGGAAGGTATTGATGGGATAACCAACAGATAAGCACCCAAACTTTTCAGATTTTTTTTTTGAGAACCATCAATAAAGTAAATCTACACACTAGAGTGTTTACAGATATAGATTAGAACTAAACTATGGGTTATCTCAACTGTGTTTTGTTCTAGCAGATCCTGTGAATCTCACTAAAAGCCCCTTTCCATCAACTTCAGGTCAGAACCTTTGCATATCATGAGAATACAAAATAATGTTATTGTTTGTTAATGGAAGAACCTGGTATCTACCTGAAGTCAGTCTCTCTCTCTCTCTCTCTCTCTCTCGGTGTGCCTGCATACACACATATATGATGAGATTGGCTTAATAAATCATGAGATTTTAAAATAATATGTGTTGGATTATTTATGTTACATTACGGATTTTTGACCTTTTAAAGTTAATATTTTCAAGCTTTTCTACAAAGTCAGGAGCAATGGAAACTTACCTATTTAGAAAATCAAAACTGAGATTCTCACCTGACCCCAGGAGCTGGAGTTTTGAGACTCATGAGAGTTGGTAACTCTGCTTGACTCTGGACAGTGTCAGAGTAGCAAATATGGGCTTCTTTGAAGCAACAATTAACACTTTTCGAATAGTAGAAAGATCTTTTTTAGGCCTTTAAGGAATAGGAAATGTGCTTCTGAAATGTTTTAATCTTGAGGTTTGTTTGTTTACATAGATTCAGAACCACTCACTACAAGCAAGTCTTCAACAACTTCAGGTTGGTAATTTAAATATAGTGAAAAGGTTGATGTTTTACATAGAAGATTTTGGTGTCCATTCAGTTGTACAAATTATGGGCTGACCCTACAAATACTTCATACATAGAATTTCCATTGACTGAAAAGGGAGAGCCATGCACAAAGCAGACCTTTCAAGATTGGGCCCTAAACACAAAGGATATTGTATAGTATATACCGTGTTGGATTAATAGAGCTATTTTTGCAATTGTGGACTATAGGGAATATTTTGAAAAACACAAATGACAGTTAGGTGCTTAATTCTCCATTGAAGTGGAAGTTGATTAAATGACTTTTCAGCCTCTGTTGGAGATACTTATAAGTAGCTACTGATTACCTTCATAAGGGGAGGGAGACATCTGGTGTGTAAAGTCTCTTATACTCTATATTCTAAAGGCACATTTCATGCTAGATACTTTAGGTATTCAATGACTAAATTCAGAGCCTTGACATAATTATTTATCTTGACTATTTGCACCATCTAGAAGGGTTTTTTTACATATATATAACTTTTTCTATATTACCATCATTGTGGGAAATGATTGACCACTATATCCCAGAAGTTCTGTAGAAGAAAATTATGAACTAAGGGCAATATATCTACTTGTGAGCTTTGGAATAGGCAAACTTTTTTGCTGTGAGAGATTAACAGGTCTGATTTAAAATTCGAATGATAATTGTATATAGCACTTTAACTTCCTAAATCTCAACACGCTATAGCAAGAAAAGTCTCATCTCCCTTTTACAAATGAAAAAATTGAGGCACAGAGGTGAAGTGACTTATCTATGGTCCCACAGCTTCCATAGTGATAAAAAGAAACTTTCTTTTTGGAAAATTGCTGCCACACCCATTTTCATTTCAGCTCATTTAACTGATCCAAATATTGTCTTATGAGATGCAGGTACCTCAAGGAGTACTGTAATATAAATGGTAATATGACTCAAGATGGCTGCTTGAAAAATATGTCCCTTCTGACAGTCACAGATGAGTCCCCATGAGTCCCCAGACACACATTCTCTATAAAATCCTTCTTGAAGAGGAGAAGGAATAGGGATTGAGGATCCTGTGTGCATGAGAGAGAGAGAGAGATGGGAGAAAGGGCTTGATGTGAAGTTGTAATCCTTGGTGAGCTTGCAGAGTGGGAGGAAAAGCTGCAAGAGAGGTAGGATATTCACCAGGAGAGAATTGGAACATTTCGAATGGCTCAGAGGAACATTCAAGTCAAAAACAGTCTCAAAAATATTTGCGGGATTCCTACGCTAATGTGAAACTCCAAAATACTTTATATAGAAAGTTTACACTTAACCTGATTTTGTTCCAACAGCTCCTGAAAGTCTGACTACAAGCCCACCTCTAACATCATCAGGTCCGTACTTCTTGTAAATGAAAACTTGCTTGTGTGCACAAGTAAGGTATGATAACAAGTGTAGGGCCACATATTCATCTTGTATAAATTGGCATAGCTGCATTGACTTCATTGGAGATACACTGCAGTACAGTAACTGGGGAGCTGTCCCATAAAATGATATGTTACCTGAAGTAATACTCTAGATAATCTAAGATGCTTGGATTTGAACTCACCTATAATGAGGAGACAAGCTTTTGTATTTTGTATGGAAGTCCTTGGAGTCTAGTGATTTAAACCAGTCTGGAAAAAAGTAAAAACAAACATAAATCTTTTCCGACCCATTGACTCCAAACAAAAACTTTGTAAAGGTTCAAATTGGTTTAGATAAGGCCAGAGCTATCCATACTTATGCTATGAGAGATGGTTAGTGCAACAACTTTGCTAAGCTTTGGTTCCATTCTCAATGGAAATCTTATGGGGAAAGGCACACTTAGGTTTCCCTTGACATGGAGATGCTGCCACAGTTGCTGGGCCTTACAAATTCAGATTCAAAGGTGAGCAATTAAAGCCAGTTAGAAGAAGGTCAGAGAGAGAGACCTTGGACCCTGCAAGCAATTGTCATGAGAGAAAGTTGTACCGTAAATGATCAATCACTACATATACACAAGCAACTTTGTTTGCAACTACACCGCACATTTTGCACCTGATTTGCAGCTCAGGTCAGTTCTTCTCCAAAAACAAAGCCTCTATCTCTTGAGCGGAAAGATGCTCTTCATTGGCTGTGATAACACATCTTTTTTGAGATAAAGATGACATGATCACACTTGAGGAAGTCTTGGCAATAGTACATGGTACATAGCAGTAATA